AGGTGGCGGGGCCGCACAGGTAGGTGGCGGGGCCGCGGAGGGCGGCGACGAGCCGTAGGGGGGGGCCGTGAGGGGCCGCGGGAGGGGCCGTAAGGGGCGTAAGGGGCCGCGCGAGGGGCCGTAAGGGACGGCGCGAGGGGCCGTAAGGGGCGGCACGAGGGGCCGTAAGGGCGGCGCGACGGGCGCGACGGGCCGTAAGGGCGGCACGAAGGGCCGTAGGGGCGGCGCGACGAGCCGTGAGAGGGCCGCTAAGGGCGACGCGACGGGGCCGTGAGGGGCCTAGCGAGGGCGCGACGGTAGGGAGAGCACACAGGGCGCGACTCGGGCCGGAGCGAAGCGCGCTCCGGGCAGGAAAAAAAAAATTCGTGGTGGTGGGCCCTAGGAATCGTTCCCACTAGGGAACCTGCTCGATACCATGAGAAGAAACGAGGAATGAAATGACTAAGGAAAAGTTGGGTACAAAAGCAAACCCTAGGAAAACTGTACCCCATATGTGCTACCCCACTATAGCCTACAGTAGCTATGTCATATAAATCTGACAGACACTAGTTCTTGCTTGGCTTCTCTCCTAGACACACTGGTATGTCCATTTATTTCCTAGATTGCGTCTTCGTCAGCTCAAGGATATAGTCGTCGCCTACTAGTTTCCTTCGATACCGTTTTCTAGTTATGCCACCTTTTGTTTTCGTGGTCGTTATTTCCTTTTCTCTACTTTATTTCCACACCCTTGCTCAGTAACGTAGTCTGTTCACCTTATTCCTTTCTCTTCCGTTCGTACTCGTCGTAGTTTTCACGCATACTCTATTCTCTACCTTCTCACCTCCATTCCTTTAGCCCATGTCTTTCCCATTCTGTCTATTCCCCTTTCAACTTTGCTCCTTTCTTACACTCACGATTCCCCCATTTCTATTGAAGTGCCGTCTAACCTTTTTTTTTTACATTTTATATCATTTGCGTTTCCGATCACGACTGTGGTGCTTGTTACTGTCGCCGTGGACTACAGCAGCGTCAGCGTCCAGAGATATAGATCTGCTCATGGTGAGTTGTTTGCGTTACTCCGTCCATTTTCCTTTCATTCGTTTATGTATCATTGCTAGTATTTGTTTTACCTCCATGTTTTCCTTCTTTTTTTGCTGCATCCGTACTATCGCTCATAGATCTATCTTTTGCCGTTCCTTTACAAAAACTTGAACGTGAGCGAGAGAGAGAGAAACAGATAGTGAGAGTGACTGCGAGCATGTCATCGTTGATTGCATAAAGAAAAATGAACTCGAGCGAGAGAGAGAAATAGATAGAGAGAGTGACTGGGAGCATGGCGTAGTTGATTCCTCACTCTGACCGAGTAGCATGTCGTTTTATTTTGTGAACCTTCCTTATTGCGTCCACCCCAAACTCGTTCTCTCTCGTTCTCTCTCTCGTTCTCTCTCTCTCTCTCTCTCTCTCTCTCTCTCTCTCTCTCTCTCTCTCTCTCTCTCTCGTTCTCTCTCGTTCGTTCTCTCTCGTTCGTTCTCTCTCTCTCTCTCTCTCTCTCTCTCTCTCTCTCTCTCTCGTTCTCTCTCTCTCGTTCTATCCCTCTCGTTCTCTCGTTCTCGTTTGTTCTCTCTCTCTCGTCCCCTCTCTCTCGTCCTCTCTCCCTTGTTTTGAATCCATTCAGGTTTTCTCTGCTTCTTTGTTTCGGTTGATTTTCTTTCACCGCATTCGCTCTTTATCCCTTCTTCTCGTTCATGCTTATTTTATTTCTTCACCAGGTTGCGCGTACGCCAGATTAACTACCTTACGATTGAGCTAAGCGATTGGGAAATTTTGGATTGTGGAATTTGATTTAGATTGTTGTTCATAAAATTGCATCTTCTGTTTTCATTTCTTCCTACTTGTCTTTTCTGTTTATGCATTTGTATGCGGCTCTATCATTGTCAATTTGCCTTCGTGTGTGTGTGTGTGTGTGCGTAAAATCATTGTGTGCATGCATGTTCATTTTTTTACGTATGTTCATCATTGCATCAACAATGCATGTCTGTGAATTTTAAAAAGATGTCTCGGGTCTATCATTTCACAAAAGGTTCATTGGCGCACAAAGTGACTCGTGTGTTGCCACTTCGAACTGGATTTGATAGGCTTGACCATTTTTTTAGGATTTACAGATTGTGTTGTTTCATGTGATAATTGATTATTCAAAATCTATGCTATTGACCTCCTCCCCATGCTAGGCAGAGGATGGCGGTAGCTTAGTTTTTGGGTCGTTAACTGTCACGCATTTTATTACGTGAATGCATGTGCATTATGATTCATGACATATCATATTAGACATTATGCATCTTATAGCTTTATTTATGCATATGCATTCATTTATCATTACTACAACATCATTTAATAGTAAAGAGTATAATGCAAACAGTACAACACATCTGCACAAATCACCTAATGGATGAAAATCATATGGTTTGATGTACGCGAACAGTATTGACAGTATAGGAAGGGTATTGTAGCGTATGAATTTTTAATGTGTGATTTTTTTTTAAATTACCCTGATGTGTTTGTGAGAGTGTACTTTGTTTGAAATTTGTCTTTCGCAATAAACTGGAGCCGTGGTTGCCTATTTCACTCACATGTCAACAGATTACAACGAGCCAGCCATGCGATGCGACCTACCTTTTTAGAGACGTGGTGGCCAGTGGGCTGCTGGGCGCCTATATACTGTCAGGTAAAGACAAAAGAGACCGACGCAAATTCGCTTCGAGGAACCCAGGTAATGGGGGTTGAGGGGGAGGAGGCAGGCCTCTGGTTAGGTTTTGAGCTACTCTTTCACGTAAGGCCAACACCCCGCTTTCACTTTTTCTGTAAGGGTGCATCACAAAAACAACTCTTTCTAGTAAGGGTCCAAACATAATATTAATAATTTAAATCTTCCAATATTGTTCAGTGAGTTGTATAGACGACTTTTGTGTGGACGACTCAAGTTCGATACCTGATAGGGGCAACTTTGATGAGAGTTACATTTTTCGCGATTATCTTATCATACTCTGTTAGATCTAACTCAATATCATCAGTGTCACTACACCACATAACTCTGAAATATCAGTGTAGTAAAACCAAACACTTTTTCTTGTAAAGGTTAATATAATGACCACTTTGAAAAAAAAGGGTGCTTAGTCAAACCCAGCCTTATAGTAAGGGTCATAAGGGTGAATCACCCTGTTAACCAGAGGCCTGGGAGGAGGGTTGGGGCGGGGGGAGGGAGGGAGGGGGTGGGGAAAGATGCCTTATGCTCGCTTCAGGGTAAGCCTATTATAACAAATGATTACAATAAGGCCAAAGTGTGACTAAATAGAAGCCCTGTCAGGTCAGGAAAAACCTACGGTAATCCCCCCAAAAAAAAACCATAGGCCAACAGTGTGACCCCCATAATTCACCGTGATAATCAAGGTATCAGGGTGATTTACGCTGATAAACTTTGCCCTGATGTTGAGGTGCGCATTAAGGAATGCTGAAAAAATCCTTACAGTTACAAACAGCTGCGCTTTTGAAATACGTAATTTAGGGGGGAAAACACACACACTGTGTTTAAAATGCAAGGTAGTGTGAAGTTCTATCAGGTAATTTTCTTATTTGATGTTTTTGTATCGTAACCAGTACAAATTGTTGCAAGTGCTGCCTACATCAATCTCGCTGTTTGACGTGGCATGATGGCAAACCTTCCTTCATGCAATTTCTACGAGGCTGCAAATGCAACTGATTCTGGCAGCCGAAACGACACACACAGCATGTCCTGTAAGGCAGGGGAGAGTGGAGAGGAGGAAACAAATTAGGTGCGTCTTCGTTATCACCTAGACGAGACGCAAGTGGAGTGCGTCTCGGCTGCCATGGGAGCACTAATAGAACAGCCACGCGGGATTGCAGATGCCTAGAGCCGCATTCATTTGCACAGCAAAACCCTCTGGCACAGAATTTCAAGAGACCATAGCACACCCCCATCACACCAAGGTGCTGAAAGCAGCACCACGTGGCCCCACCTTATTGGGCGCCACGTTCCTAACAGGGTGGATGGACAAAGTGGCAGCATCCACTGCAGTGCCCAGGTGCCGCTCCACCTCCTGCTCACAGGCAAGCAAGCAAGCAACAGAGACCAATCGCAATTGCAAGCATGGGGGACTCGACCCAATGTGCAGGCATGCATGGTGACGTTTGAGTCGACTTAAACGACACCTCGCGCCCACTGCAGCGCCCAGGTGCCGCTCCACCTCTTGCTCTCCCACACAAGCAGTGCAGGCATGAGTGATAAGCAGTGCAAGCATGAGGGATAAGCAGTGCAGGCATGAGTGATAAGCAGTGCAGGCATGAGTGATAAGCTGTGCAGGCATGAGGGATCAGCAGTGCAGGCATGAGGGAATAGCAGTGCAGCCATGACGGATAAGCAGTGCAGGCATGAGTGACAAGCAGTGCAGGCATGAGTGATAAGCTGTGCAGGCATGAGGGATCAGCAGTGCAGGCATGAGGGAATAGCAGTGCAGGCATGAGGGATAAGCAGTGCAGGCATGAGGGATAAGCAGTGCAGGCATGAGGGATAAGCAGTGCAGGCATGAGGGATAAGCAGCGCAGGCATGAGGGATAAGCAGCGCAGGCAAGCAGTGGAGACAAGCAGAGATAAGGCACGGATGGGGGACCCGTGCAGTGCAGGCATGGGGAACAGTTTCTTTGAGCCGATTGTGAGAGAGGTAAGGGAACACACAGAAGCAGTGCATGCTTATGGGGACCCGGTTCCTCCGAGCGCGCTATTAAGCAGCAGAAGAGGCCAACGCTCATTGAGCAAGCACAACACAAGTTGAGGGTAAGTTGATGAGGCTCAAAGCATGGCAAGGATGGATGGGGCAGAGCGAGGCGAGAGGCCGGCAGGGACTCACACCCTACGGCACAGCCCACCCAGCGGTACCCCCAGGCTACATGGGAGCATGGGAGACAGGGAGGACAGGCACTCTGCTTTTACACTGGCATGCAGCGGGACGCTAGGGCTGCCTCCTCCCCCCCACCTGCATGACGGCCTCAGCAGTGTGGCCGGAGCGGTGGAAGCAGTAGGTGTGCACGAGCGGCAGGGGGCCCTCCCAGTGGGCGCGGGAGAAGGCGCCGCGGAAGGAGTCTGAGAAGAGGGAGTGGTTGGCGGGATGGGGGGGTGGGCAGCGGGGCGGGGTCACGTGGGGGAGTGGAGTGGGTAAGGGATCGGTTTGGAAAGAGGGGCGTTCAATAAGGTGCCTTCGGGGAGGAATGGTGGGATGAACGGTATGTAGCTGTGGGGGGGCGAGGGGCAAGAGAGCGTGGTGGAATGAGATGTGCATGTTGTGGTCAAAGGGCGATGTTGTGGTCAAAGGGCGATGTTGTGGTCAAAGGGCGATGTTGTGGTCAAAGGGCGATGTTGTGGTCACAGGGCGATGTTGTGGTCAAAGGGCGATGTTGTGGTCACAGGGCGATGTTGTGGTCACAGGGCGATGTTGTGGTCAAAGGGCGATGTTGTGGTCAAAGGGCGATGTTGTGGTCACAGGGCGATGTTGTGGTCAAAGGGCGATGTTGTGGTCACAGGGCGATGTTGTGGTCAAAGGGCGATGTTGTGGTCACAGGGCGATGTTGTGGTCAAAGGGCGATGTTGTGGTCACAGGGCGATGTTGTGGTCACAGGGCGATGTTGTGGTCAAAGGGCGATGTTGTGGTCACAGGGCGATGTTGTGGTCAAAGGGCGATGTTGTGGTCAAAGGGCGATGTTGTGGTCACAGGGCGATGTTGTGGTCACAGGGCGATGTTGTGGTCAAAGGGCGATGTTGTGGTCAAAGGGCGATGTTGTGGTCACAGGGCGATGTTGTGGTCACAGGGCGATGTTGTGGTCAAAGGGCGATGTTGTGGTCAAAGGGCGATGGCTTACCATTGCTCACCACACACTGCCAGGCGGGCATGGGAGGGGAACGCAATGGTGGAACCCAAACGGACCCAGACAGACACGGACGTACCCAGGAAGGTGATGGCAGAAGCAGGCAGGTTCATGACCACGTGGTCCACATGCCTCCACGGCGCCACTGATGCCACATCAATGCCCTCCCCGTCCTTGCTCTCGCCCTTCCCTCCCTTCTTCTTCCCTTTGCCTTTTCTCCCTGTCCTTCCCCCTTTCTGCTCCTCCTGCTTCCCTCCTGCCACCCCCTCCGCTTTCCCCTCCTGCGTGTTCGCTCCCTGCATTCCCTCGCCCGCCCCTCGCCCCACTCCCTCCTCGCTTCCATCTCGGCTGCCGGCTGTCGCGCAACCCCCATCGCCTCCAGCAACCTCCCTTCCCTCACCATCCTTCTCTCCCACTTCTCTCGCCACCTGTCCTTCTGCGCTCCCTGTCACCCCTTCAGCCGCTTCCCTCCCAGCCTCTGCCTCCCATTGCCCCGCACTTGCACTCCCCAATGCCACTCTCTGCTCCCCCTCTACACCCTCCACTTCCATACCCTCCCCTTCCCCCTGCTCGCCTCTTTCTCTCTTTACCCCCCTTGCTGCTGCTCTTTGCTGCTCTCTCTCCCCATTCTCCCCCTCTTCCTGCTGCAACTGCCCCTTCCCTCCCGCCTCCCCATCACCTACCTTCTCCCCTGCCTTCCCGTCATCCAAAAAGCCTTCCACCCCTCTCGCCACCATTTCAGCTCCCTCCTGTTCCGGCAGCTTCAGAACCCCTCGCACAAACACCCGCGCATCCTCGTTATAAGCCTTCACCCGCCCCTCCACCCCATTCACCCTTACATTCCTCCTCAAATACTCCACACTCGCCGGATTCAAGTCATTCGCAAGCACAGCACACCCCGCCTTGGCAGCCGGCACGGCAAACGGCCCGACCCCAGCAAACATGTCAACCACCACGTCGCCTCTCTTGAAGAAGGCGTCCACAAGGCGCTTGTGCTCGTGCTCCAGGCGCGAGTTCCAGTACACGCGCGCGTAGTCCAGGTGGAAGGTGGCGCCGTGCTGCCTCACGGAGGTCTCGAGGTGCGAGGAGGAGCCCTCGCCTGCGATGAGCTCGAGCGTGGGCACTCGAAACTCGTTTTCGATTATTCCGCTCTTGTTCACCACCGTTCGAATTAATGGGGTGTTCTTCTGCCAGGAGTGGGGCAGCATGCGGGGTTGGGATGCAAGGGGCAAAAGGGGGTGAGGCATGGGCATGGAGGGAGAGGCATGGCACGTGTAGTCCAAGAACTCATGAGCCAGGCACATGCATATCCATCCGTGTGTTTTAGGCCTCGGCCTCACTGCACCAACGCCCTTGCATGAGAAAACACTGTGGGACTCGCGGAGTGGAGAAGTACCCCATGGACTCACCTCCAGCACCACTCACCTCCAGCACCACTCACCTCCAGCACCACTCACCTCCAGCACCACTCACCTCCAGCACCACTCACCTCCAGCACCACTCACCTCCAGCACCACTCACCTCCAGCACCACTCACCTCCAGCAGCACTTTCCCAATAACGAAGCGGTAGGGCAGCAGGTCGTCACGCAGGTTGACATGCGCTATGTGGCCTGCCGTGCAGAAAGGAAGTGAGGGGGGGGGGAAAGTGGGGGTTGTGGGTAAGGGCGGTGGGATGCGGAAGGAATTGAGGTGCAACCACACGGATGGGCCCTAGACCCACCAAAAATATATGCCGGAGGCGTGGACGCGTGCGACAGCTGCAAGGGAACTGGAGGTTGCTGCTGTTGCTCATTTGGCAGCAGCAAAGGTAGCTGAAGGTGCCGCCAAAGCAGCACACAAGGAGGCCGAAGCAGCAGCATTGGCGGCAGTAAAAGCACCAGCTGCTACAATGGCAACAGCAGAATCAATCGCAAGTCTAGCAGTAGCTGCAGCAGGCAAGGTAGCAGTTGTTGCTAAAGAACACAAATGGCAGCAGCGTTGGCAACAGAGGCAGCAACCCAATTTGCAGCCCAATTACGTTCGATAAAAACCATTGGCAGCACCACCACCATCAGCAATGGGGAGGAAGGTAAGAAAATCTGTTTGCTCCCACTTAGTCTGCGTGTCCGCTTGTTCAATGGCTTGTTTTGTGAGTCTGTAGGTATGCCTACTTCTTTAGGTCACGCCACTATGATACCGCCGCAATGTGACGCCATGTTCTCAAAGCGTGACATCACGGTGGGGCGTTATCATAGTGGCGTGACCTAAAGGAGAAGGCAGGCCTACAGACTCACAAAAGAAGCCACTGAATAAGCAGACAGGCAGACTAAGTGGGAGCAAACAATTTTTTTTACCTTCCTCCCCATTGCTGATGGTGATGGTGCTGCCACTGGTTTTGCTTGGAGGTACTTGGGCTGCCAGTTGTGTTGCTGCCTCTGTTGCCAACGTTGATGCCATTTGTGCTTCTTCAGCAGCTACTGCTGCCTTGCCTGCTGCAGCTACTGCTAAAGTTATGTTGTTGCCATTGCAGCAACTGGTGCTTTTACTACCGCCAATGCTGCTGCTTCGGCCTCCTTGTGTGCTGCTTTGGCAGCACCTTCAGCTACCGTTGCTGCTACCAAATGAGTAACAGCAGAAACCCCAGCTCTTTTGCAGATGTCGCACGCGCCCACACCTCTGGCAGGTACGCACCATCAGCACCCCAGTGAGGGGGGAGGAGGAGTGGGGGGTGTGGGCAAGGGCGGTGGGTTGCGGAAGGAATTGAGGTGCAACCACACAGATGGTGTTCATCTGCCTCTCTGCAGTGTGCCCTAAACCCACCAAAAATATATGCCCTTTCAAACCAGTGGTTTGGTAGGTAACGAGCTGGGCCAACAACGCACACATGGTAATAGTACACTTGTACACGTAGCACCCATCTACCCACCTCATGGCACAGTACACCTCATGGCACACCTCACAGTACACCTCGTGGTGCCATGCCCACCCACGATAGAGACTAATCAGGGTGGTTGGGTGGAGCAACTGGGCTCACCGACAGTCTCGAATGCCGTGGGCACCTCCACCCCTGGCGGCAGCAGCTTGCGCAACACGTGGTCTGCAGGGACATGCGGGAGGGGTGGGTGGGTGGGTGGGAGTGACATGACGTGACACGGGGTTGGGGTTGTGGCAGGCGTGTTGACAGAGAATGATGGCATGCGTGAGCAACCAGGTCAAGCGTGCAACCAGGTCAAGCGTGCAACCAGGTCAAGCGTGCAACCAGGTCAAGCGTGCAACCAGGTCAAGCGTGCAACCAGGTCAAGCGTGCAACCAGGTCAACCGTCAAGCGTGCAACCAGGTCAAGCGTGCACAGCACATGATGAGTGAACTAACTAACGGAGGAACGAAGGAGTGATTGACACCCCTACAAGCAGACAGACAGCTCACCAAGCCTAGACTGATGCATATTTGTGGAGCGCCAACAGCGTGACTGTACTGAATAAACCTGCCTCTTGTGAGAAGCCTCTAACGCAGTTAATACCTCATGGCATGGACCATGTGTGATCGACTGGGAACAAGGGAGACACAGATAAAGAGCACAAGCACAAGCACAAGCACAAGCACAAGCACAAGCACAAGCACAAGCACAAGCGCAGATGAGGAACACAGACAACACCACAAGCGAAAATGGAGCTGGTGAACTGACCTGCGGGCCAGTAGGAGTAGTCAAGGCGCTGCTCGTACGTGGTGACGTGGAACAGCCCCTCCTGCTGCAGCTGCTGCCGCACGGACGGCGGGAGATCTGGTGAGTGGTAATGGGTGGAGGCACTGAGGACGAGATTATGCGACGCTTAACATGCTGCTCGAGTGGGCTGTTGGGTTGGGTCGACCCAAAGCAGATCGTGTGAAGCTCAGCTCAACTTCACGTGCTGTCCGTGCTGCCAGAGGCCAGTGGGAGGAGTGCACAGGACTTCGCAGTCGTACCACATGCAGCAACGCTTCCCTGACCACTCATGTGCTTCGCAACCCACTCGCTCGTGCCTCACCTCCATACAAAACCCCGAACCCTCGCCTGCACCTAAACATCGGCATTTCTACAGCTTGCTCGAGCGGACCATATACTTGGTTCGATCCCCAACCTCAACCCTAGACCCGAACCCGAAACCTTAAACCCTGACCCTGTTGCACCCACCCGTTGAGGCTTCCTTGATGACGTCATCCAGCAGCACGAGGCGCAGAGAAGAGTCGCTGGGGTGAGGCAAGATGTGACGCAAGCGAGGGCGGTCGAAGGTATGACTGTAGCGAAGGGCAGGAAGGGGGGGAATGGGAAGCGAGTTGGCAATGGGACATCCGAAGAGGGGCGGGAAAGCACGTGGCGACGAGTGGTTTGCTACCAGCCTCGTGCGTCAGTCGTCCCGCGCGCAACCCGCACGTGCTGACTTTTGCGACGCTCACGTTCCTTGATCGCCCGTGTGACTGGCAATCGCCCTTGCGACTCCAGTCGCTCATACGAATCAGTCGCTCATGCGATGCGACCCAGTCGCACATGCGACCCAGTCGCCCATGAGCCCCAATCAGAGTCCTGACGCACCCGTAAACGATGCGAGAGGTCTGTTGCGCCAGCCGAGCAGGTACGGCGAGGGCCTGTAGCAGGATGACAGTATCGAATTGCTCCTTATCGAACTCGGCGGGATGCACGGCGCTAGCGACAGAGTCGCCTACGGCCTGTGCGGCTTCTGCGACTTGCTTGTCGCCTGCGACATGTGCAGCTACTATCTCGGTACGATCGCTAATGTCGTTCGTGGCTGTCGCCAATGCGTGCGCCATTGCAACGTCACTTTCTTCAGCCGTGGCCATAGGTCGTCTAAAATCCGAATGGAGTGCTGTGATTCAATCCTGACCTGCTCGAACGGGCATTCAATCAGCAGCAGCTAACAGTGTGACGCCGAATGGGTTTTTCCTTACAGTGTTGTGATTCAGTAACGCCTACAGTGTGAAACTCAGTGACGATAACATTGCACTAAGCCATCTGTGTAGCCAAAAACATTACACTAACAGATCAGGGAAATTCAACTAAACGGAAAAAAAACGTTTTTTGTAATATCTAATAGGAAAGGAAATACATTTTAATTTATCTGATGGATCAGACAAGGTTTCCATGTTCATCTGTATCAGGAACACTTTCCGGTTTCGTCTCGTACCAGATTTCTTCCCTTAGGCATTACACGTGAACAAGGCGTGGGGGTGTGTCCCCCCTTGATTACCGGATTGCATGAATACATCTCGCGGCCCGACATCCCACGTGTAGCCTTCGCCAAAAATGCAAAAAGATGCTCATGCCGCAGGTACATATACATTGAATATGCCGTACCAACGGTGGTATGCGTCTAAACTTGCCCACGCAGGACCAGTACTGTCGTACGTGGCCTGTCTCGTCGTCAGGGATTGGTCAGTGTGTTACAGCACACATCGATCCACCTCCACAAATGCTCGATTCCGGCGCCTACAGAAGGTTCTAGAAGCGCGTTGATGTGGCACCAGAAACTAGTGGTGACACCCATTGTTTCCATTGCCATGCGCGCTTCGTCATCTGGGGTTGGGGTTGGGGCGTTGGGGTTTCGAAGGGCCCTCCATTTCCAACCCTCTCTTGCAAACGCCCTTTCAAGCCTATTCCTGCAGTATTTTTTCGATTCTTTCCCGTTACCCGTTCGTCTGTCTTCTCGTCATGGCGGACGACGCGGACGCTGCTGAAACACCCACCTCACGGCCCCAACCACCTGTAACGGGCCTAGATTTTCTACGACGATCCCAGCCAGCTGCCGTGTTAGGCTCGTTCTCCCCGACACGCGTTGCCGTAGCTTCTTCCCTAGCTCCACGCAAAGTTACGCCAGTTTCTTGGCCCGATCTTAATGCCCAACGGGCTTTCTGAAGCACACTGCCTGTCTCCCCTAGTCCCTCTACTAGAAATCCTGCGACAACTCCTAGATCGCAAGCATCGATTAGCGCATCACGTAGTGATGTTGTCCGTGTTTCCCCAAGGCTGGCCGGTTCACCCAGGGAACCCTGCGGTTTGCTAAGGCGCGGGGTTCCACACGTTCGCATCATCGCACGCCCCACCACGCCGCCTAGAGTAGGAGTTTCATCGATCCCACCAGTAGCTCATGCGACAGGTGATCCTGGCCCGTCAAGGAGTACTATTGATGATCTTTATCCGGACGCCCTGATGCCTGAACTTCACGCATGGTCGAAGGAGTATTGGAAGGGTAAATTCAAACGGCTGATCATAACACCGGAAGGACGGGAATCTGTGCATGAATTGCAGCATATGCATGGCTCACGGTCATGCCAATTGGAAGTACGGGAGACTTGGAGAGGACCGAGTTGACATCCAGCGGCAGTCGATGCGGAAACACAGTCTCAGTAAAAAGCACAAGGACGCCGTTGATTCAAAGCTGCGTGCAGAAGGCGGTAAGGTCCCTTATCAAGGCATCGCCGATTACGAGAACGACGACAACGAGACATCGAGGTTGAAGCAATTGATGCTGACTGGGCTATATATTTGCAAATCCGATTCTCCCATCTCTCTGTTTGTTGGTCTTGTTCGTCTGTTGGCCGACTTCGGAACGCCTCAGATTCCAGACAAGGCAATATAGGTCGCTGACTTTGTGTGAACGATGAAGCCCGCATCCCGCGCCATGCTGACGCAGGCATCCCGAAGCTCGTTATGCATGTTGATCCTGTGTTTTCCGGTGCCGCAGCAAAACAGATGGTTGGGCAAACGCGGGTCAATGGTCTTGACGTGTTTTGAGCAGTCACACTTCGCCGGTGTTGCGAAAGATAGGCCCAGCCAAAAGCGAACTGCATTTGCAAAGTGCTCGGGTCCAATCCGCCGTGTTAACTCGATTGGGATTGCCAGCAGCCAATCCCCAGCACCATAGCCGGTTAGAGAGAAGAAGCGTTGGGTATGTCCACACAGGGGATTCGGTGACATCTACCTACTCCGCCCTGCCGTGGTATAGCCCAATCTTCTTGTCCGCTACCTCCCTTGCTGCCCATCCCCTCCCCTTCCTGGCCGTCTCGTCCCGTTTGCTGATGGGGTCCGTGATGGTGATGTCCCCCCGCCACACTGCTCCACTGCTACAGTCCTGGAGAGCCAGGTCGGCCTTCTTGTTGTCGACCTGGCTGAACGCCGTGCTCTCCTTATGCACTATGAACCTGGCGTCCTGAGCCATCCGCACACACTCATCCCACAGCTGGTTGTGGGTGTTGGTCCGCCCATGCCCTGTGCCGCAGCGGAGGAGGTGGTTGGGGAGGCGCTTGTCTGTTATGGCGACTTTGTCCGTGCAGTCGCAGCAACTCAGGAGGGGGAGGGGCAGTCCCAGGCAGAACTGTAAGGCAAATGAGAAGTGTTCATGGTTGAGGCGGAGGGAGGACATATAGGGGATGGCGATCAACCAGTCGCCGGTGCCGTAACCTGTGAGAGACAACAGCCGCTGGGTGTGACCGCATAGGGGGTTCACGTCCATAGGCCGTGATGCCGCTATCTGTGCAGCGCTGCGTCCCCCCTAGACCAGGAGGGCGAGGCAATGCTGCAGCTGTTCCTTTGGTGCGGCTATCTCTGCTGCCAGCAGGTCCCGACCCTCCTGTGTTAGGCTCGCCTTGCACTCCCCCGGCCATGCTTGCAGCTCGTTCGGGTCCGGGTCCACCTCCTCGGACCAGTTCAGGGCGTTGGAGAGGTGAGCCCCCGCGGGGCCTAGCAGAGTTGTGAGGAGTCCATGCGCCTGGGCGCAACTCGCCAGGTAGCTGTAGCACCCTTCGACTGCTGGATCCCCTAGCCCCAGACCTCCCGGGCTAGGGGGGAGGGAGGCCTGGTCCCAGACGCGTCGTCCCTCGGCTTCTCCCCTCGGATGGCGCACGCCGTAGGCATCGAGCAGTGTGTGGAGCAGCGCCTGGCCCCACCGTGACCATTTATCTTCGGGCACAAGGCTGAGTGGAGTGGTGCTCACGAGGTAGGACATCCGCCTCGAGATGCACCTGGTTAGCAGCACTGACGCTGTTTGCGGATCCAAGTCGGCTATCTGTGGGAGTGGGTTTGTCATGGCCTGTAGCTGCGCCTGTATACAGGCGGCTGCTCCCTCTGGCGCGCCAATGAAACTACCCAGAACACGCAGTTCGTCGGGGCAGAATGGGACCCCAGCTGGCAGAGTCCCTTCCGGCGGTCGTACCGCGCTCCATGTCGCGTATTTCCTCGTGTTGTGTCTAAGCCCCATGTTTTTCACGCTGCTCGTGAAGTGGTTAAACACCGCCGTACACTCCGACGCTTGCCCCAGGAACGTGACGTCGTCGGCAAATGCCAGGCAGAGCACGGTCGGGAATGTGGTTGCGGTCGCGGAGAGGGACGGGTGAATACTTGCCGCGAAGAGCAGTGGCCCGAGTAGATCGCCTTGGCGAACCCCTGTAACGCTTTTTAATGGTGGGCTATTATAACTTGCATCGAGGAAAAGCTCGGACGACGCACTGTAAGAGATGTGAACTAGGGGGAGTATCCCTTGAAGCGTGTTTTGGCGTAGGCCTGCTACTATTGCCTCGCGACTGATGCTATTGAAAGCGTTTGAGAGGTCCGCCTGAAGAATCAATGCGTTGCTACGCGTACACATGTACGACCTGGCGGCGTGGATTATCGCTTCGCTACCCCCCTGGACGGCGACACAATACTGGAGCGGGAGGAAATGGGCCCGTGCTTCTTCAGCTAGCGAGGAGAGTGCTGATTTCGCCGCGAGGCGTAAGATATATTCCCCCACTGCTATGGGGCGAGTACCCCCCTCTTGCTTTGTGAGGGCGATGAGGCGAGAAGCCGTGAGTAAGGAGCACACTTCTTCGGGAAGTGGCCCTTTGAGCATGGTGCTAACGAGGGCGTGGAGGTGGGTGATAACTGCTGCGTTGGCGATGGCCGCGTCCCTGAGGTGCTCGAACGTCATCCCTGACGGCCCACCTCCAACTCCGTTTTTGCAACGGCACAAAATCTTCGCGAATGCTGCTTTGGTGATGGTCACCACGTGGGCTTGGTCTGGGGGTGTCCAGTCGATGTGTCCAGGTGGCGCAGGTGGGTGCTTGGTCTTGAGTGATTCCAGTGTTTCGGGCATTGGGTATGCCACGGGTGTGGATTCAAGGGCTAGGATTGCCCACCGTAGGCTGCCCTTTTCGAACGAGGCCTTCAGCTCTGGTGTGCTTGCCCAAGGCGTCCGATTGGCGACGTGGTGCGGGCGGCGTATTGATTGGTGCCATCGCTACCTCGTACAGCTGGTTCCATTCGCCTTTGAAAAAATGGTGAAGTCGCAGCTTCACCATCGGCCAATCGGGCTTCTCTGGTTTCGCCTGGCGAAGGATTAGGCGGGGAATGAAAAGCAGTAGTCGCCACCCTGGCACCGGGTTAGGGTTACGAGAGAGGTGTAGCAATGGTGTCAGGATCGCCATTGCGAAACTGTTGCGGATGTCATGCGGGATTTTCCGGATGAGGGGGTTGCTGACGACTGTCGTGAAGTGGTGTCAGGTCCCAAGTTTAGGTTTCGCCGAAGAGTGCGGTGTCCTTCGCCTGCTGTTCGGGCGAGAATTGGCGGGGTCATGTTGTTGGTGTGGTATTGTGGGGAGCTTGACGATGAGGTTCCCCCCCAATTCCAACTGCTGTAGATGCGGCTCGGGGAATTGTTGCAACATTCGCTCGGCTCTCAACTCCTCGGGCAGCTTCACCTTCATCCCCACCACTTCCTTCAGTAGTGGATTCAACGGCTGGCTGGGCAATAAAGGTGCGGTCTTGTGCCTCATCTGCTTCATCCTTCGCCGCGTTGTTGTCATCCGCATCATTTAAAGCTAGCCTCGTCGCCTGTTGGAAGTCGTTCTCCCATCCTCGGCCTCTCCCCACAGCTCGCTGCCGCCCGCCTCTGCCACCTCATGATGCATGTGGCGGTTGGTGGCGGTTCCCCGGTGCCGTATTCGTCGCGGCCCTTTGGCGTGGCGTCTGCTGCGCTTGTCTCGCCGGTGTTGTCGGCGCCAGTGGCCCCTGTTGCGGCAATGTCTGCCGCGGGTTCTCCTGCTCACGTATGCTCCACGGTAGTCAACTCTGGACAAGAGTCGGCAGGTGTGGCTGCCCCCCCCGTGAGTGGTGGCACCGACGCCTGTCCCTGCCTTTGTTCTGGCGCTTGCGGCTGACGTGGCGCCTCTTCCTGCTCCTGGCGCGGCGCCCTCTCATGCGCCTCACGTTCCGGTGTTGCCGTCACCTCCTGCGGCGGCAGCTGATGCTGCTGTTGTGGCGCCTGCGGCTGGTGTGCCACCGCTTCCTGCGCCAATTCTAGCGCCACCTCCAGTGGATCCTGCGGCGCTCCCTGTGGGCTCCCTCGTCTGCACCTGTCCTTCCCCGGCTGTGCAGTAGCGTAACTCCCGTCCTCATTCGCCCTCCCCAAGAGATGAGCGAGATGTGCCTCGGCGTCAGCGAGATTCCCCTCGCCGGCGGCAGCCGCAGACAAACTGGCATGCACACCAGGGTGGCTGGGGGGGAGGTCGCGGTCGCAGGCGTGGCGGGTGGCTGGGCGCGCCCTCGATAATTGCCGATGTACGGCAGATAGTGACCGAGGCGTTTCGTGATGTCGCGCCAGTCCGGCGAGTCAGAGCAGCTCGCGGCGTGCATCTCCAGCGCCGACGGCCCCCATTCCTGCTGCTCACCCTGCGGTTGCCCCGGCGCAAGCGGTGTCTTTGCCGGCTCCCCCGCCCCCGGGTCAATTTGGTGGGGCCGGGCTCCCTCCTCTCCGGCTCCCCTCTCTAGTGGAGGAGCTCCTTCCTCCGCGTGCCGAGGTTCCTGAGGCGACATTGGCCAATTGTGGCGGCTCTCGGAGAGCCTTCGAGCACTGATACGGGTGCAGACGATGGCACACGGGTTACTTCCGCCTGTTCTTGCAGAGTCCCTGCTTGACGACCCACGAGACGACTGTCTTGATGCAGCCGCTCCTGTGTGGGGAAGCGTTGGGGCTGTGGGGCAGCTGGATTCGGCCGTGAGGGACTTGCGGCAGTATTTGCGGGCAGGTTCCGGAGCCGACGCGATTGGCGCAACCATCTTGGTGGTGCGCTTGGTGTGGCAAACGATGACGGGCATCCTTCATACCTTGCAGGCAGATCGTTTGTAGGAGATTTCCCGTCTTGTTCCATGGCGTCCCGGTTAATAGCCTGTTGGATGTGCCTTCAGTGTATGCATGCTGAAATATAGTCCTTGTCATGGGGCCGACGCGAGCTGCTCGGTTTGGAGAGAAGAACGAACCACCAAATAAATAATGAGATGCTAGGCAAGGCACCAGGGCCTTTATATTAGGCTCGGGAGGCTAGAGGAGGCTAAGGACTGGCAATGCATGTGGTGATAATGAGGCCACTGCGTTTGAGGTGAGAGAATGTGACTGCAAAGGTGGTGGAGAGGGAGAGTGGCGTGGTGCGAGCTCAGATGACTGTGGGTTGATGCTAGTGAGCGGGTGGGTCAACACAAGTCAACAGGTGGGTCAAACTCTAGCTAACAGGTGGGCCAACGCTAGCCGACAGGCGAGTCAACGCTAGCCAACGATAGGTCAGTACATGTCAATTAATGGGTCAGCGCTAGTGCAAATGGTCAGCTCAAGATTTCTTCTCCCTTCTTCCCCATCCACCTCCCCATTCAGGCCACAACATCAATCAAGCGGAGCAGCATGGTGGGGAAAATAGTCGTGTGGCGCCTGACTGCTAAGTGACAGCCTTTCGAGTCTCCTCTTTCTCTCTCCCCTCCCATGTAGGCTTTAGCAGTGGGAAAGCCAGTGGGCATGGTGATTTGAAACGCTTAAATTCTTCCTTTTCTCCCACTCTCCGCCCTCGCAGGTTGTGGCAGCAGGCAAGGCAGCGGGTGTGGTTAAGAAGATGGGTCGGAGACGCTGAAGGCTTGCTACTGTCCCGTTTTGACACTCCTCTTTTCTCTCCCTCCTCCTTGCCCACGCTGGCTGTGGAAGCGGGTGCGCCAGTGGGCGTGGTGGAGAAGATGGTGGTGGGGTGGCTGGGGAAGTTATATGGAGAGGTGGTGATGTTGAAGCAGCCGCATTCGATGGATGAGAAGAGAACTGTGCAGGTGGGTGTCAGGTGGTGCACATGTGTATTCTCATTCGGTCGCAAAGAAGTGGTGGTGTTGCTATAGCAGGTACATGCCATGGATGACAAGCGCACCGTGCAGGTGAGGACCATGTGGTTCCTACATGAAGCTCTCATCTTGTCGCAAGGAAGTGGAGGTGGAATCCCGAGCCTTGCACGAACTGATGGACTGGCTCCATGCTCTCAAATGTGAGCATTTCATTTTTTCTCCTCGCTGTCATCTAACCCATGCGGCCCATGGTGGCATGCACGCTGTCAACGGGAGTTGTGGTTGGCCCCGTCCTCGCTTGGGCGGAGCCGACTTTGTATTCGGGTGTGTGGGGTATGCGGCCGACGTGTAGCAGTGGGCGGCGCCGACTTGGGCAAGGTAGTCGACAGGTCTGGTCGACCTGGGAGGGGTGCCGACTTTGGAGGGCGCCGAGTTCAGGTGGTCGACCTGGCGAGGTCGACCTCGGAGGCGTCGGCTTGGTGACGCCGACCTGGGGAGGCCGACTTAGAGATGTCGGCGAACAGCTGCTGTGGTCGACGAGGTTGTCGTCGACCTGTGGGATGACCGACTTGGTAAAGTCGACAGGTGGTCGTTGACCTGGGTGGTCGACGAGCGCGTACAACTTTCGATTGACTTTCCCCGAGGAAGTCGACGCCGATCTGGTGGTATCCGAGTCGACCAAGTTACCCGGGCGACGGGGATCTGCGGGATGCGTGATCGTCGCCCAGGTGGTTGTGGCGAAGCCGACCTCGGTGGTGGTATCCCTGGGTTGACGTGGCTGATCAGATGCGGTCGTCAGCACGAGGACAATCTGGTGTCCGCGCTATGCAGGTGACGAGGCACAGCATGCCAATCATCTGCGGGCACCTACGAAGCGGGTGCGCTGCTGTCCGGCGGGTGCAATGCTGTGCAGCCGTCTTGCTGCAGTGTTGTCACGCCGTCGACTTGCAACGTTGGCAAGCCGCGACTTTGCACTGCTGGTGCGCGGTCGACCACGCAGTGCTGGAACCCGGTCGACCGTGCTGCGCTGGCAGTCGACCTGCTTGTATGCTAGCATCTGATGTAGTCATTGTTGCTACCATTGTTGTAAACTTTTGCTAGTGAAACTCTTGCCAAATTTCCCCGTGAACGCGCAAGTAGAGAGAGCACGAGTGAACGACTAAGAAACGGATGCTACAATCACTCCTACCCTGTGCCTAATCCGTAGACTAGCTCCTGTTGCTAGAGTTATCTCCGCATCGTGCGGTGAGCGTGGACGGCACCGCGATATACCTTTAGTCTTGTCGACTTAGTTGCACTTATCTATCGTGTTCTTAGTTCGGCAACTGTGCATTAGTCACCATGGTTGGCGCATGTGACGCTGGTGTAGCAGACACCCTGGAGCCACGGCTGGAGGATGCAAGGAGACGCCACAAGGATGGCGAGTACGGAGAGACTCTCCCCTTGGCAGTCGTCGAGGTGGACATCCGTGCCGTGTGGGCGGCGGAGCACCCTTCTCGACCAGCCTCTCCTCGATCGGTCAACAAAGAAGGAGGCGTCGACGTAGGCGTCAACGCCGGTGACCGAATCGGCAGCAGTGCGGGAGGAACATTGAGGCAGAGAGGAGTGATTCACGCTGATGAAGTCGGCGGCGTTCAGGCGCGAGGGCTGCAGTCGTCGGCGGCTGCAGGGTCCTCGTAGGGCGACGTCAGAGGACGTCGAAGCAGCGTTACGCCGGTGTCGACGACCCACGTCACGGCGGGTGGGATCGCGCCGACCTACGGCTACTTCAAGTTCACGCTGGACAGAATCGTCGTCAGCCCCCTGCTGGTCGGCCGCCATGACCTCCTCACATGGAAGGAGGCCATCGAGCCCCAGCTGGAGATGGCTGGCTTGATGTGCTTTGCCGAGGGTAGTGTGGAGAAGCTGCCTGCAAGCAACGCCCTACTGCGCGCGGAGTTCCGCGCCGTGCATCTACTCACCTTCATGGTCAAATCGCGATTCTGCTCGCCTGAGGTGCAGATCATCTTGAAGTCGTGCAGGAGCTACTTGGACGCCGGCCACCAGGCGTGGCAGTTCATCACGTCGACGTACCAGGTCACGGATGACCTGTACATTGGCTAGCTGGAGGAGTAGATGACGCACCTGCGGATGGGCGAGCAGGAGACGGCGACCGACTACTGCAACCAGGCTCGGCGACTGCTCGCCAACATGCGGATGGCCGCCGTGGAGTACTCGACGACGTCCTACATCACGCACGTTCTGAAGGGGCTACCGAGTAGCTACAACTTGATGAAGCGGCTGTCGGTGGTGCCGGGCACCCGGGAGTCGCTCAACAAGGACTCCCTGGCCTCGTTCATCATCAGGGACGAGGCGATGTAGGAGGCCGAGCGGACCACAGAGCTCCTGCCGTAGGTGAACTACGCCGCCCCGATGAAGTAAGGTGGTCGACCGGGGCAGCGCGGTTAGTCTGGCGGTGGTAGAAGCGGCGGTGGCAGGTCGGCCAAGGATGCCAAAAAGGCGAAGTCGGCCAAGGATGCCAACAAGGCGAAGTCGGCCAAGGATGCTAGGCGTCGAGGAGGAAGTCGACGTCGGAAGTGCTGGCTGTGCCACAGCCCCGACCACCTCTCCTTCGAGGGCCCCGACCGAAGTGACTCCGACGACGACGACACCAAGGGGGCCGAGGGAGGTCGGACAGGCGTCGACCTCGTTGGGAGAGCAAGGATAAGTAGTCGACCAAGTCGTCGACCTCGGTGAAGGACGCCGACACCTCCTCTGGCGACAAGGGGCGAGGCGACCAAGAGGCGGCGTGCTCGCTGGTCCACGTCGTGGAGCCGGCCGTCTCGCTGGCACCAAAGGCTGGCGAGGACTTCCAGGCGGTGGCAGCAGCTGTGCAGGCAAACCCGGCGGTGGTCTTGCTTGACAGCGGCTGCTCGCACCACCTGATGGGGACGAAGGAGGCCTTCGTCGACTTGGAGCTGAGTGGCGACGTCAAGCACGTGCGCGGCTTCAATGGAGCGCTGCAGAACGTCCAAGGCCAGGGCACTGTCGCCCTGCAAGGGGCAGCCGGGAAGCAGGTGCTCATCCCCAATTTGCTCTACGTTCCGGGCGTGCAGGCAAACCTGTTGTCAGCCGGCCAGCTGAAGGAGAACGGCATGAAGTTGAAGGAGGACTGGGACGGGATGCTCCTTGTCTCGGCGGTGGGGGACGTGCTTGGTCGGGCGACGTATATCGGCCGGGTCCTTTGCACACGGCAACATCGACAATGGGCTTGTTGGAGGTGATGGCTCTATGGGCGATCATCTCGGCGACAAAGTCGAACCCGTCCAGGTGGCACGCAAGGCTAGTGCACGCCAACGTTGACACGATCACAAGCTCGGCGAAGCATGGGGTCGCCACTGGCTTGGACATCAAGTCGTCAACCGGCGCTGACTCTCCGTGTGTCTCGTACGTCTGTGAGAAGCTGGCGCGGCACACCTT